CTGGGTCCAGTTTTTCATCACACTGATTCTGGGCACCTTGGAATCAAAGGTGGCAAAAAAAAAAAAAAAAAAGAAAAAAAAAAAAAAAGGTGGCAGGCCTAGAGTGGCTACATATGCACAACTGTGTGCACACTGCGGCCTGGTGCACTGACAGAGGTATGGACATTTCTACCCTGTGTGATGTATGCCCACATAGTTCGCTGGAGGACTCCTCCCACCTTTGGTGGGAGTGCCTGGTGGCCCGGGGTTTCTGGGACTGGGTGGGCAGAATGTGGTACGCCTCTTATAAGGTTACGCAGTTCTGGACAAAGCAGATGGTTCTCTTAGGCGCACAGGGCAGCACCCCAAGAGCCAAGATTGCAAACAAGTTTAGAGTCATTGGCTTTTGGACACTATGGTTGGCCAGAAGGGACCGCAGATTCAATGGTGTCTCCTGGCCAGTTTCTCGCATCAGGAATAGTTTTAAGCAGTCTGTCAGGAACTTGATACTGGCAGAATATAGAAAGAAGAGATTAGGCAACGTCCTTCTTGAACAGGCACAGTCTTCCTTACAGAAGGCATGGGCCGCAGAGTGCAAGTGGATCTCTTTTTAAGATAACAAAAGACTACATGTAGTCTTTTCTCGTTTTCTGTGGGACGAAAAGGAGGACTTCGTCCTGCCGCAGGATCTTTACGCAGCTTGTATTTGAGTTATACCCTCCATCACTTTGAATGGGACGCTGGACCCGTTTTCCAGCAGGTGCAGCTCCCCACCAATAGACAGGAGTAATCTTGGTCAAAAAAAAAAAAAAAAAAAAAAAAAAAAAAAAAAGGAACCCTCTCCTTTTTCCCAAAAAAAACAAATTATAAAAACACGTGAATCCGCTATGTACCCACGCTGGTCACGCCAGCTGCTGTGCCATGATTGAGCGCCTTCACAGCTACCCGTAGTAGGGCATAATTAACCCCAGTTTCGATCGAGAACTCCACGTGGGACTATCTGGCGTTATTCGATCGAGGGAGGGAGGCAGGACAAACGAGGGAACCTGGTCCGGGCCCACGAAGACCGAGCACCCCTCTCCACTCCTCCTTCCCCTCGATAGCCCCTCTTGCCGACACTGACGTTTCTTGAAAGATGTCCCCTGCAAGCAAAGGCAGGCGTGGGGGACGGAGGGAAGCCCGGGATGCTGAGACTCTGAGGCAACATGCTCACACAGAACACACACACACACACACACATACACACACATATATATATATATATATCGTCAAATAGAACTGCCCGGTAAACCGTAGGCAGAGAGGGAGAAGAGGACAACAAACGAGGGCACAGCCCCTCGTTTGTTGTCCTCTTCTCTCTCTCTGCCTACGGTTTACCGGGCAGTTCTGTTTGTGACGAGAGAGAGAGAGAGAGAGAGAGAGAGAGAGAGAGAGAGAGAGAGAGAGAGAGAGAGGCCTACCTCCCTCGATCCGCGCTCACTACCGTCCCCGAAAGAATTGGATTTGCCGGCGCAGACAGGCACACAAGGAAGAGGGAGGAAGGGGAACAGAGGGGATACCCGCACAGAGACCCACCGGTGAGGGGAGCTTGAGAGAGAGCGAGCGAGCGAGCGAGCGAGAGAGAGAGAGAGAGAGAGAGAGAGAGAGAGAGAGAGAGAGAGAGAGAGAGAGAGAGAGAGAGAG